GTCTTTTTTCGCTCTCTCTCTCTCTCTCTCGTGTTGAAAGGGATTGATTGTGAGTTGCGCGAGTGTTTTCTTTTCTTAATGACGTCGCCAGGTCTTTACAATTGATTGATATGTGGACTGACCAGTACCCTCCAATCGGGCACCAGCCTCCCGTACCTCCCGTCCCAACACGGCCTTTTCCCTACAACGAGGGAAGGATACGTGTATGCGAGTGGGACGTACGAGAAACTGTTGCACAAATCCGCAGGCGGTATTACTTTTTCCCGGCAAATCGTTGCTCAGGGTTCGTGGAAGCTGGGTTTGTCATTATCGATACGCACTTCCCACCTTACTCGATATTGTTGCCATTCAACAAGTTGATCGTCATCCCGTGGACGGCAATAGAACCCCACTGACCGCGCACTCTATGCACCGAATGTCAACGTTTTGAGCGCTACGAATCCAGGGGCTTCCACTACCGTGTGCGGAGTGAAGACGAGCATAAAGAAAGAGCCACGCGACTAAGACCATCCAAGTCAGACTCGGAACTGACCAGCGAACGACGGCGAGATTTGATACGAAAACGAGACACGCGAAGCGTGCCAAAGCCTTTCCGTTCTAAATGACGGGCTGTAGCCCGGTGGGAAGCCCGACAATACTTTTTGGATTGAATTTGGATTTTTCTCTTTTCGCGTCGTGCCYGCGCGCGCATTCCGCAACGCGCGAAGGCAATTGACTTGCTTCATCGGACCAACACAGGGGATTTCAGTTCCATCTGTGTCCCCACACTCAATTTCCAAAAATCCTTGGCGCACCCCATCTTGCTGTTTTTCTGGGCCTCTTTCCGCACGCCTAACACTCCGAACGAAAGACAACACAGGGCGTGAGGTTAGCACGTCACACATCGCAGGAAGATATGGTTTATGGTTTCTGGCCTTTTCCTAGTTGGAAAAGAATATAAACAGAGTTTGCACCAGGGCAAGGCCCCGCCCATTTTGTTCCAAGGATGTCCTATCTATTATCCAGTCATTTGTTGGTAGGCAACGATGCTCTATTTGCCATTGGAGGGAGGCCAGTTCGGCAGGCTTCGTCTTAACGAGCTGGAACCATTTTACCCCCCGAAGTGATTCCTTGCTAGTATTCAAGTGCTTCATCCATCTAGCCTCCACCTGGTCACGTAGATTAGACATTGGACGAAGGGGTGTCTGCTCTTACCAGCGCCCCTAGCAAACCTGGGCTCTTTTTTTTTTTCTTTTTTTTTTTTAAGATGCCCGATGGTTGTATGTCCCGAGCCAATCCACTGAATACCATGAGCCCCATAACCCAAAATAACTCTTCTTGCCAACCGGCTGGGCATTCCCCAATGTTTTTTTTCACCATTGTTTCTATGTTTTTACACTTCAGCCTGTCAGGGTGACCTCTCACCCACAGGGTCATCTTGATCAATCATAATGTTGTGTAAATTGCAGCAAGCCAGAAATCTTTGCACAATATTTTGAAAATCGCAATGCGACGACAATCAAAACAACACAAAACTCCTTCAAAATGCCAAACCATCTCTCTACTACATACTGTAGTGACTTGAGTTTCTAGTCGTATGCCTTCTATCGATTTGTTGTGCATGGCTTTCCTCCTAAAGGCGTCAGAAAACTTCACTCGAGAGAACTTGGTGCATCGCACACCTGTCTGCCTACAGCAAGTTCTGTACATTCACACCCCTCGCAAACGCAACAATTTTTACTTTTATTCATGTTTCGCCGACGCGGAAGAAAAAAACAGGGTAAACTAGACTCATATATCTCTGCAGTCCTCTCTCGTTGTCTTCCCCCACAGCAAAAGGTTCGTTTCCACTGAAACCGATGCCTTCGGAAAGTGAAAACAATATGCTCAAGGAGTTCGGTTACATTCACTTGGAGTGCATGAAGTACACCATGGCCGCAGTCRACTTGAGAAAACGAAGGGCTCACTCCTAAATGGGAMGCTGGACCCGATTTCCAGCAGGTGACGCTCCCCACCAATAGATGGAGCCTCTCCCCCGGTGCTAGTGGTGTCTGCTCTTATCAGCAGCACTAGCACCGGAGGGGTGATCGGAATTATTCAATTAGAAATTGAGATCTGTATGCATCTTGCTGTAATCTTGGGTGGCTTATAATTCGTTTGTCAATTTTGTTAATCTTCTTAAGCCTTATAGGTTAGATTAGTTGTTTGTAGTGTTTTGTTCCGTTGCCTCCTCTAGTGTTTCGAATTGTAGAACTACGCTGGAGAGTTGGCTCTGACATAATACTATTACTCTTAGTTTGAAGTTTGGGTGTGCTGGGTTGAAAGTTTGGATCATTTACTTGGTCTTTGGAATAATATTAGGGTTAAAACTGTAAAATCCTTGTGTATTGCCTTGCGTATGTTTGAGATTTGCAGATGATAACTCGTAGTTTTTGGCAATAGTGTTTCGAGTTTAGAATCATGCTCGTGTTATACTTCCTCTGCGCTGCAAGGATATCACGTTATAGGCTGACGGATTGGAGAATTTCGTTATGATTAGTTCAGCCACCTTTTCTGTGCTTCAAGGCTTTTTTGAGGAGTTTCTCTTCTTATGGAGGCTGTGTGGTCGTGGGACGCTGGACCCGGTTTCCAGCAGGTTTTCTTCGTCAACACCGGGTAGAATTGTGAGGTCCCCGGCCTCGACCATTTCTGTTTTGAAATATAAAGTGACAACTTCCCAAAAAAAAAAAAAAAAAAAAAAAGATTTCAGAGGCCCGTGGCTACGGGATCATAACGGCTGGTGGCACCAGCCAAAAAATAAAGAAAGTGCACCACTACCTTCTTCACCGGAATAGAACGCCCGCGGCTTTTATCGCTGCATCTGGACCGAATGGTGCGCCAAATACGGCTATAATGACCGKCTGTTCTATTGGGTTGAAGACGGTAGCGGCTCGGCAAAGTGTGCGGCACAGTGCTACTCCTCCTCCAGGCTCAGGTGTATCGGCGGGGCTTAAATCAGCAGTTCAGCCGAGCCTATGTGCACGAACTGACCCACTGGGCCTGCCCATCCTGAAATGTGGCTCCAACCTGCTCACACCAAGGTTGATTGAAATATGCATTTCAGTAATATCTTTTCACGGGCCAAAGGACTCTTGTTTTTTTTTTTTGTTTTTCATATTATTTGCCTGATGCGGAATTTCTGWTTTTTTTTGTTTTTCATATTATTCGTTTTTCATATTTTTCATATTATTTGTTTTTCATATTTTTCATATTATTTGCCTAAGTGACATTTCTGATTTTTTAAGGAATTTMTTGTCAACCTGGAATAAAAAATGTTCGAAGTCGGGGTGCTCGAAATTTTGCACMCCCCCCCCAGGTTAAAGCATAWTTTTTTTTTTATCACGTGTAATGGAAAGAGGCCGACTTCAGTTCGGCTGAACTGGCTGGTGGCTTAAAAACTTYAAACCACCAGTACTTGGCCCAGCTATGGGCCGTGGGGAAAAAAATAGCGTAGAAATGTTTCTAGTCGAATGAACTTGGGCGCTCCTGGACGTACGTTTCCTTAAAAAAAAAAAAAAAGGATGTCATAGGCACCGTTGCCACTTGCATACACAACCCTACAAAAAAAAGTACAAACTGACAGCCTGGGAAGCACTTCAACCTGTAATTGGACGGCTTTATCTTCCTTTCGCGCAAGGAAGGAGGACACCAGAGAGGGTGCTTGGCAATGCCCTCCGGCAGAAAATGAAGGCGGACAGCGCTGTCACTTCCTTTATAATCTTTCGCCTCACACTGGAATAAGGAGACTGAATAGCAGTGCAGAATAGCGAATGCATTGCAACAATAATGACCTGGTGGCCACAGGAAAAAAACAGACTTGCAAGTTTCCATACGAGAGGGGGTGAGGGAACCATACTGGCCCTCCAACTTGCCCGAAATCCAGCGACGTCCTGGACCTCTTCGGCCTGATAGACCCAGTCAAATGGCCGAACCAGAAAGCTTCCTATCATCGTGTTGTTGTGTTGTCATGTTCGCTATACACACAAATCCACAAAAAAAAAAGCACGACCGTGCCCAGCAAAAAAAAAAAAAAAAAAAAAAAAAAAAAAAAAAAAAAAAAAA